GGGGGGGGGGCTGCCCACAGGGCGGCTCTCATGCGCTCGTATCCAAGTTCGGTCCTAGACCCTAGTGTGGAATACGGCTTCCGCTCGGTGGATCCCGCAATAGAAGCGAAGGACGCGATCACTCGATCTTTGGGCGTCTACGTAGTCGGGCCCCCGGCGACTACACAAGCAGAGCTTGACCAAAAAGAGTTCTCCGAGCTCCCTTCTTGGTGCCTCAATGGATATGTACCGTATGTACCGCGCTCGAAAAGAGGAGACGCACTGTACCCGCAAAGCGGACGATTCCTTTGGTGCTCGCCCTTGGCGAAGCCGTTGTAGATGATGAAGAGCTCTATGAGCAACGGGTGCAGAGACACCGGAAACTTTCGTCGCTGTACAACTTACAGTGGAGCCACAAGGAAGTGGATGTGCGCGTGGAACGCCATCTTTTGCCAAACTGAAGGCGCAACGCCGACTTCCTTCGTATTTTCACCCTGCGACATATGGATTGATCCATCACGCTTCCGCGAGCTCTGTGATTTCTCACGCGGGTGGGTCTACGACCACAGCAGCTCAGAGCTATAGCTTGAGCTCTGCTCATGGCCCATCGTCTTTCCCGAGAAGCGCGGGGTGTACGACGACACGGAGCGTCATGATCCTCTGATCATAAGCGTCCACGACGTCTGTGCAGTCCTGCCGAAGTGGAACCTCAAACTCCCATGAGATATGGGTATTCCCACCACCTCACAAATACTTTGTTTGACCCTGTCGACGACGTCGACCCACAAGATGTTCCACGCTAAAGAAAGCGCCACCGTTCTCGTCGAGAAGAGTCGTCGGTGGACGATGACGACTTGGTCGATTGCTGTTCGGTGACTTACGATGCTCTTCGAGGTCTTGAGGACAATATCCGTCGCCATTAGGGCTCCGCTGAGCAACATGCTGAGGTCACATACCGCTGTGCGGAAACCCTCGAGAGCTTGGAGCACTTTGTGCACCGCCTGCTTTACGTTGAGGAATATTGCGCTCTGTCGGAGCGGCTTCTAGACATTGAGATGACGAATGTGAATTTGGAGTGCTTGGCGCCGTTGGAGATGGAGATAGTTGCACTCCGCGCTCAAAACCCAGTTGCTGTTTCAGCTTCTGGGTTGTTGAGCGCCAGTGAAAATACAGTAGGATGTTTACACGCTACTGAGTAGCAGCGTGTAAACACCCTATTGTATTTTGGGCGCCTACCCGAAGCCAACGCTTCCGCGTTTACTTACGCCGGATCCCGGTACGGCCTAAGCAAGCCTACTTCGATCTCCGGGTGGGTGCGCATTCGTTTCGGAAGATTTAGCGTATATGCAGGGCTCCGCTTGACCACGTCCGATCAACCGTAGACGGAGCTTCGTCTCAAAGAGAGTAAAAACTGCATTTATAGGAAAATTTATCATTTGATAAATCTCCAACCTCAAGCTTTTCCGCATTTCTTTTGCTCCTTCGATCGGCGTATTCTTTCTGCATGTCTTGGCTTTCAGCCATCCAATAGCGAACGTATCGTAAGACACACAGTTTGGTAGACAAGAAGTCATTGACTTCTTTACGGACAGTAACAGAGCTGACATCAGCTAGTCGTTCGGCTATTTCTCCCTATCAAAGCCTGAGCCATGGGATGGCGGCGTCAGCGGGATGCAAGCATCAACATGCCCATTCACGTAGAACGGCGAATAGTCAGTAAACGTGCGCACTGCATCGATCAGAGCAAACTCTACAAGTGGCATCATGGCGTTCCAGCGTCTTGGAGTCTCAGCGAAGAAAGTCCCCGACGACGCGATACACGCGTTCAGTTTTACCATCAGTCCGCTGTTGGTGTCTGGCACTGCCGCAACATGATCCATCTTGCTCAAACGGTCCACAAAAATCACGACATCCGTGTTGCCCACAGAGTCCTTCGACAGGCCAACCGAAAAGTCCATACTCATGGACTGCCAATACCCGGAGGATACCGGCAAACTGGCCAGCGGCGCCGCCGCATTTGGAGAGGGTTTTAGTCTTTGAAACGTCTCACACGTGCGCACAGAGGTGCTCATTCATTGTACGGCTTGGGTCACCAGTAGTGGCAACTCACAGAGCTATTGGTCTTCTCAAAACCGAAAATGACCACTAATTGGGGTGTCATGGGCCTCGTGGAGGATACGATACTTCAAATTCTCATCTTAAGGAATCACAATTTGTGGCGTATCCGCCGAGCTGTTGCTATAATACAGCAACCCGTTATTTGATATATATCGGTGCAACCGTGCACGCAATCGCGACGACAAATTCTTGTAAGCGCCTTGCTCCTGAGAGCTCGTAGCAGCGCTACGCACATATCATCATTCGCGTATGCGGCGCGGGTCAAAATCGTCACTGACGACGTTACCATCGTGACATGAGCAAGCTCATATCCGGTATGTGCGACAACGCATCAGCCAAAGCATTCTGCTTCCCTGGATTATGCTTCACCGCGAAGTTATATACTGCAAATAAGGAGAGCCACCCGGCCACCCGACCATCCTCTGCAAGAGGTGAGGCGACTGAGTTGCAGTGCGTAATGACGCATGATCTTTATAGATCGCAAAAGGCTTTGAGCCAAGCAGTTGCACCCTTAAGTTAACAAATGCATACTATATCGCAAGTAATTTCTTGTTAGGGACTGAGTAGTTCTTCTCCGCAGCCTTCAGCTGGCGAAATTCGAACTCAATCACCCGATCTCGCCCCTCGGCGTCTGCCTGCAGCAATGCTCAGCCGATGGCAAAGTCCGAAGCGTCACAGACGACACTGAAAGAAAAATCAGTGTCTGGCAACACCAGAATTGGTGCATGAAGGAGGCTGTCATCGACCCTGTCTAAAGCCTCCCGATGCTCCGTGTCCTAACACCATATCGCATCCTTCTTAAGGAGATTCGAAAATGGCCATGCCATTTCTACGTAATTCCCACTGTACAAGTAGTTGGCGAAGCTACGCCACTTACGCAGCTCCTTTTGGTTCTTTGGAACCGGCCAATCCACAGTGGCCTTGACCTTAGCGGGATCCGCTCGAAAGCGACGTTTACCGATGAAGCATCCTAAAAAGGATTTTTTTGCGCCAAAAAGGCAGTTGTCTGTAATAGCTTACAGCTTATTCTTGCGCATACACTCCAGCACCGCTCTTGAGTGGACGATGTGGTTCTCTTCATCTGTCCTCACGATGCTCCGTACGACTGTAGACGAAATTGTCGTCGAAGTATGTCTGTGCATACGCCCAGTGGAGCTTGAACAACTGCGTCAGAAGACGATTAAATGTTGCTGGTGCATCGAACAGTTCTTGGGGCATCACCAGCCACTCCCAAAGAATGCCGCTCAAGGAATTCACCGCTGTCAGCGGGATTCCACTCGCTCTCATGAGCAATTAATAATACTCTTCAACCCAGTCGAGTGCACTGAACTTTGCGCATCCAATTATGTTGTTCTGGAGAACGATCTTCTAGGAATCGGCGTCTGTGTCGGATTGGTGGCAGCTTTGAGCTTATTGTGAGTGGAACGATACGTCACTTGCCGTTCGGCTTCCGGACACAAAACGTGGGTGTCGAATGGAAAAGATACACTCACGCACCATTCCTCCGTCGTGCTTTGCACGGGAGAAGGTTTCAATGACGTCACACTGCTTCTTGGGCAGGGGCCAATGGCAATTTGATTCCCGGAACCAGGTAGATCTCATGACGCACACGTCGGTCCGGAGATAGAATTGACGGCGTCTTGAGATTTCTTTACTAAAGGATAGTACGGATCCGAGGGATACTTCAGGATCAATGATCCACTTCGTGCGCTCAGCACCCTGTTGGTGTTCTCCAAGACAGCTAATTCCAAAATGCGACAAAGAGTTGATCTCTTCTTTTAGTCATAAAATGGCCATTTTGGCTAAGTCGCCTGCCTTTAAAGCACCGCCGAAATCTTTGATAAAAATCTCGTCCAGCTCAAGAAGAGCATCCACCGCAAGAAAATCCTCGAGGGTGATTTCACCACCATTCTCCACCGTCATACCGTTGGTTAGGGTGATAAGCTATGCGCTATAGTCTACAGTAGACAAATTCTGGGTCAGGGTTGACGCTCGGCGTCTTGCAGATATCGTACGGCGTCGCTGTCGCCTCTTCACAGTGGTCGTACGTCTCGGCGAGACCAGTGAGAAGACGCACTCAGCGTCGTCCAGTGTAAGTCCCACTTTCTTCTCCATCGGAGCCCTGATGTTATTAGCAACAGCTGCTAGCTCCGCTGTCTTCGTCCAGTGGTTAACATGGCACTCCACGCGCATCTGAAGGGCCTTGCCCAAGATGCCTCGGACCTCGTTCGACCATGCCACACGTGGCAAGGAGCGACTGCCTCGAAACGTGAGTAATGCTCAGTGGATTACATGCCATTCCATGTGTATCACTGGGGCCTCGCCCTCCAAGCCTTAGGGTGGCACGCAGTGACTGTTTCAAAACGTGATCAGTGCTTAGTAGATAACGTGCCACTCCACGTGCATCACT